GGATCAGTCGATGGAAATTGTAATCGAATCGAAATTAAATATTCGTTGTCGAGGTTCGCGCGTCGCCTTGAAACGCACTTTCGAATTCAGCTTCGCGAATTATGATACGATAGATACCACGATGTTGATTCTGTGTTATGAAACGAATATAGTGTATCGAAATAACCTCGGTCTTAACGCCGACAATTTTTTTTTTTTTTTTGCATTTTTTTCCATAGTCATTTACACGCTATCTTGTCTGCAATTTTTTTTATAAAATTTATTATATCTAGTAATAACGTAATATATGCAATAACACAAGTAACCCAAGGAACTGGTAAACATTTAATTCTAAACACTATTAGATGTTTGAAATGTAGTAAAATATGCAAAAACATAAAAAATGCAATGAAAAGAATGAAAAATGACCAAATAGACTTTGCAGACTTAGATTTCCATTTGTCAATCTGTCTGTATAATCGCAAGCAGGTTTTCCTCATTCTAATAAATTTTTTGCGTGGATCATTAATAATATTAATTACGTGGTAATCGAATTATAATATATTGTATAATCATATATAATAAAGATATAAACTTAGTTAAGAACCATAATTAAAAATTAAACTCGAATAACTAGAAAATTCTTCTTCAAACTTTATATTACGCAACATCCAACCAATTAATATAATCATATTTAAATTTATATTTTTAAAAAATTGAATTTAAATTCGATTCCTATTTTATTTAAACCTAAGAATTACATCAATCCCCTTTCTTTTCATCTATAATTATATATTTTATTAAAAACTTAAATTCGAATTTTTATCAAAATTAAAAATTACATTTGTTACACACTACTAAACAATAAATATCTTTTATACCTTCTTTTCATCGATTACTATACTTGAACAATTGTTCAGGAATATCATATATTTATTGATGGTAATAAAAGGTTTTCCATGGTTCATTTTCAATTAATTATAAACGTATAAAAACACTTACCTTGGCGAAATCCTGATAGATGAAGGTAGGATCTTCGATGAAATGACCGATGTCAGAGTCGAGGACCGAACTACTCCTCTGAGGCGCGGCTGCCAACTCGGCGGACTGGGTCTCCACGGTCTCGAATCTCTTCGACAGTTCCTCTTGCGTGATCTGGTACGACTCCGATTTCTCGGAAAGGCGTTTCATACGTTCCATGAGCGCCTCCACGCCGACCTCCTGTTCACCTACTATGCTCGGCGAGGATGGCGGCGATGGCATGTTTTCTGCAAAGATTCGAATAAATATCCCCCTCGTTAACGTTCTTAATCTCCGATTGAACGACACGTTGAAAGTAGCGATTAAGTGTTGAAAATGTTTCGAGTTGGAAGCCACTTATCTTGATTAAATTAAAAAAGAGACAGAGAGAGAGAGAGAGAGAAAATGGAAGGAGAGATAAAAACTAAATAAAAGTGATTTGTAACGTGGATCGACGTTATAAATACTATTTTGCTATTACTATTTTACAATTCAAAGCTATGAAATGTTAATAATATACGGTAGAATGTCGTTAATGAGATTCGAAAAGAGAAAAGAAAAGAAAAAAAGAAAAAAGAAATCTCCTCGAGATTCGATTTGAATTATGTTATAAGGGATTAGATGAATTTAAAACGTGACCGACTTACCAGTCTTGCCGTCGCCATTGGGGATCTTCTTGGGACTACTGGAAAGTTTGTCTTTGGCAGTTGGTACGTTATTGCTATTATCCTGGACGTTCTCTTTGTAATGGTGACCGGCTACGTTGTCCAGCTCTTCGTTAATACCGCAGGAAAAGACGAAAGACGAAAGGGAGTGGAAGTGGGCCAGAAGAACTATCGCGTGAACGACCTCGGCCAAGGACCAACTGTCCGCGCCTTTGGTCAATTTCTGCAAAATCAAAATCGATCCATTACGCGTCTCTTTCTTTTTTTTTTTTTTTT